AATACTTCTTACTTTTTTAATAACTTTAATATTATTTCCAAGTGAGAGTATTTGTTGGATATATTCTAATGCAACTCCTTCAACTATAATTTCTGGTCTATTTCCAATTTCTTTAAGAATTGAAATAAATTCTTCATAAACTTGTTTAAGTTCATCTTCTTCAAGTGGTGTAGAAGGCTCTTCTTCAAGAATGATTCTAACTAGACTTAATGTTTCTATATCTCTCAATCCTTTCCAATTCATTTCTTTTGCACAAATCCATCCTTGCATATCACCACCAAGAGTAATATTAAGTTTTTTTAATGACTTCATTTCATTGACATTACTACAAAGACTATCTGTTTTCCAATTACGAATTTTGTTTATAGGAATTCCTTGAATATTTCCATCAATATCATAATATTCGTAATTTGATTTTAATGATGAAATAACGTTGGTTCCTTGATAATTTGTCATTCCACCAAATATTTTTAATTCTTTTATTACATTGTCTTTATCTAAACATAAATTCTCTTTAAATGATTGTAGTCCTTCATTTGTTTTCTTGTTTATCATAGAAAAATTAACTAAATCTTCATAGCTTTTAAGGTATTTCGCTACATTCATTAAATAAACCATTTCTAACTGAGTCATTTTGAACAAATGAATAACTGAATGTTGATTTGACAGTTCTATAACTATACCTTGGAATAAATTAGAATACTTTAGAATTTATTCTTTCTATTTCTAGTTCTGTTATTAATATTGTTATACATAACAAAATAGTTTCATTTAATCATTTTATCATCAATTATCTCTTCAATTTAAACGTGTCTTATCTATCTTATTTTTTGAATTGTTTATCACTTATTCTTCATTTCTTGATTTATGTATGTGTAATATAATTTTTAATTGGAATATTTTTTGATAATATTGATATTTCATTGGTTTGTTGTTTGATATGCTTTTGTTAAATATAAAAAATTTTCACTATTCAGAATGTTACTAAAGTTTTTGTCAAGTCAATTCGTTGTGAATTGTGTGATTAATAAGTCAAATTCATTTGTTTGTTATTACTTCTTTTCATGTAAATAGTACCCAATGATTTATTTGTGTTATTCTTTGTAATTGATTTGCATTTCAGTTACATAAAGATTAAAAAGTAATATTGATTCATTTATGATGTTAATGAGTTTTATTTCACTAAAAAGAATAAAAGACTTTCCTAAGAAACAACTAGTTTTATCATTAAATTCAATCACTTATTTTGTATTTTGTATAACTTTATCTATTGAATCAAGCAAATTAACATCAACACAAATGAAACAAACAAAGAGAGTTAAATTCATTGTAATGGGTATAATTCATTCCACAACATTAGAGCCATAACCTAAATCTTATTCTAATAAAAATAGTCATAGTTTATTATTAATTATTTTCATTTTACATATATTTGAATATTTCATTTCTTAGCTTTTCAAATAAAGGTGTTTTAAATTGGAATTTCTTTATACTAAGTTACATCATAGATTGTTTTAACCATTGTATTTTCTTTTCTTCTTTTTCTATTTAATATTAAGACACTTCTTGTAGCTGTTTCAATAGAACTTATTCTTTCTTAAATCTTATAACAAAAAACATGTTATTTAATGAGCAAATATATCAACTCGTTAGTGTCATTCAATAATGTCAATTGTATTGGGGGTTCTAACTCATAATATTTATAGTATTTATAATATTACAAAACAACAAAAAAAAAGAAGAAAAATAATAAACATCATTTATTCAAGGTAATTAAAAAAAAATAATCTAATAATTATTTAGTTCATTCTTAATGCAAAACACAAATAACTTTCATGTTCTAAAAGAATCTTTAAACGCTTTATGCAAAATTGTTGGTTTATTTAACCAAACAAAAAAAGAGACAGAAGAAGCTAATACAAGAAAGTTTAATGAGCACGTAACTATAGTTAACCAATGCCTCCAACAGTTGTTTCAATGTTGTCGAGTTATACCAGATGCACAATCACCAAATGAAATGCTTAACACTTTAAACTACCTTAGCCAATTTTTATTAACATGTGTAACAACATTAATTGGTGAAAGTGTCACATTTTTGAAGAATGAAGAAAGTCTATTAAAAGAGCGTCAATCTGATGAGGAAATTGTACAAAAAATGCAAAAGCTTTACCAACAGATGCAAGGCATTATGCTTATTAAGGGTGTTGGTCCTAGTATCACTTCAATTTATAACAATATCATGACTGCTAAAGGAGATGAGTTAAGAAGTGAATGTCAAAAACTATTAACACTGCTAACTGAGTTAGACAAAAGTAACATCACTACAGTAACCTTACAATTTGGAGAAGATATCATTGACCTTCCACTACAAATTTTGGAGACTAAACAGACTGAAAAAAGTCTCAACAATGCCGACCAGAAAATAGTTCAAAGAGATGAAGAAAAAGAAGTTGATGACAATAAACAGAAACCTTCTCTAAGTACAAAAAACCCCCAGAAACAGGATAATATTATGGATTTAACTAAACAAAAAAGTAATATTGAAAAAGAAAGTAATACTGAAAAAGATCAACAAAATGAGGAGCAACAAAACAATGAAACTAACCAAGAAGAAGTTGAAGAAGAAGAAGTTGAAGAAGAAGTTAAAGAAGAAGATAACCAAGGAGACAAAGAAACGAAAGAGAGTGAAACCAATAGCCAAAGAAAATGTAGAGAGAGTAATTTTGAAAGTCAAGAAGGTGTGTCTCATGGAGACCCAAACATTAGAGGAGATAGTGAAACTAAAACGGGTACTACAGTCCCTGATAGATGCGATAGCCAAGAAGATAAAGGTAGTATTGAAAAAGTTAAACAAAATGAGGAGCAAGAAAACACTGAAATTAGTAAATTGAAACAGGAGTTAATTGAATGTCGTAAACAGTGTGCAACAGCCATCAATACAAATGCTGGTCTTAATGATGAAATCAAAAAATTAAATGAACAACTTGAAGAAGAAAAGAAAAAATCTGTTGATTATGAACAACTAAAACAAAAACAAGAGGATTCTGAAAAACAATATTCTCAAAGTCTTACAGAAAAAGAAAAAGAAATTGAAAGGCAAAAGGCAGAAATTGAAAGTCAAAAGGCAGAAATTGAAAGTCAAAAGGCAGAAATTGAAAGGCAAAGAAATGAAATTGAAAGTCAAAAGGCAGAAATTGAAAGTCAAAAGGCAGAAATTGAAAGTCAAAAGGCAGAAATTGAAAGTCAAAAGGCAGAAATTGAAAGGCAAAAGGCAGAAATTGAAAGGCAAAGAAATGAAATTGAAAGTCAAAGAAATGAAATTGAAAGGCAAAAGGCAGAAATTGAAAGGCAAAGAAAAAAAATTGAAGAAAAAGAAAAAGAAATTAAAGGCAAAGAAAGTACTATTGAAGACAAAGAAAATGAAATTGAAAAATTAAAACAGGAAATAAATTATTTGAAAAAACCACTTGAGCCAGAGGTTGTATTTTGTAATGTTCCAATTTCTCATTACGTCACTGGGTATCAAGAAGTAATAGAAGTGAATCATAAAAAAATTGTTGTTCCAATTAGTATTGGACAACCAGAAGGTGTTAGATATCAATATGATAACTGTGGAACACCAGTCAATGGGAGAATGCGAGATTTAATCGTTATTGATAGAACGGAACAAACAGAATCCCTTCGACGACAAGGGAATGATATTATCCAAACTGTTTTTATTTCTCAGCCTCAAAGAAACACAGAACTCCAATGTTCCATTCCATGTATTGATGGAAGAAGTAATATTACTGTTACGATAATAAGACAAGAAGGTATGCAAGGACCATATAAAGGATATGGAATGCCAATTGGAACAACTGGAAAAAGAGGTGACTTATATCTAATTATCAAATTTAATTAAATTTTGGATTTACAACTTGCTTTTAAAACTTTTTGAAAAAGTGTTTTTTATTGAATAATGACTCAGTTAAAAGATGATGAATGGTTTAGAATAATAACTAATAAATAGTACAAATAAACGTCATCAAATAAAAATTAGATAATTAAATATTAATAGAATTGTTATTTATTCATTACTTATTGTATATTCACCAAATTACACATCATTAAAATGAATAAATCATTTTATTTTATTTCTTTTATATTATTGTTTTTTCTTTTTTCTTCTCTTCATTTCTTCTTTTTATCATTTTCTTTGATTTTTATTTGCATTTAAATGAACTTCTTCTTTCTTTATTTTCTTATTTTATGAATGATTATTTCATTACTATTATAGTATTATGTATAATTTCATTTATTATTATTATTTCATGTTATCTTATTTCATTATTTGTATTATTATTTATTAAATTTCTTATTCAAATACTCATCATAATCATATAACAATTGATAGTTTAATGTTTAAATTTGTATTTAATATTTGTTTGTTGTTTCTGATTTGCCACTTTAAGTCTTCGTTTTTTTATTCAAAAGCAAATAATAAAAAAGAAGAATAAAAATAATAAGCAATTAATTAAGTGTTAATAGAATTAGTTTTTATTATTCCTTATTTATTTGAAACTATCAAACACAATCTTCATCTAGAAATATACTGCATATGTTTGATTATGATAAAACCATTATTCCATTACAATTATCAGTTTTTAATAATACTGTTTTCAACTTTATAGTGTTAATTTTCATTTTCAATTATTTAATTAATTTAATACTCTTTATATTTATTATTCAATTGATTACTTCAGTTCTTTTGACATTTTTTATTTAATCTATTCTTTAATTCTTTATTCTTTTTTATTCATTTATCTCAATTCTTATTGTGATATACATTATTCATATCATTTATTAAACTAATCTTATTCTTTTTGTTTATTACTAACATGTTATCTTTATTCTTGTCTTTTATTTTATTACTTTTATATATGTTGTTTCAATGAATATTTCCAGTTACTTATTTTCATTATACTTAAATTTAATTCATTTATTGTTATAATGACATTATCATAATTTCTATATCTTTCATTCCACGAGGTGATTTGTTTTATTTTCCAATTTATCTTTATTTAATATCACCTGTGTTTCATATAATATTTCCAATATTCTAAAGTAATATCGTTATTTGGGTATATTTCATTTTTTTGTTTCTTCCTTATTTTAATTTTCTTATTAGAATCAAACATGATTTTATTTGTATTGATTCTGATTATTTCATTTTTATTAAATTTAATTCTTTATTCATAGTCATCATATATTTTAGGTACTTTATTCTTTCTAGTGATTTGACTTTTATTCCTTCTTCATCATTTTCTTTTAATTTCATGATGTACTTTATTCTGTACCATTTCCTTCCCTTGACCAAATCTTCTAGTTTATTTATTTTCTTTAGTATTTCTTTTATTTCATCAAATTTATCTCTTATTATTTGATTTTGGAGATAGAGGTGCATAACCATTGAAATCCTCTTCATATCATCTTGCACATCCTGCATTCTGCTTCATGATTATACACATCTATTATTAATTTCCATTATTAATCGGTCAGCTTCTTTTCTTTGAAAGTAGTAATTAATATTTGTACATTTTTCTACTTTCATTTCTTTTATATTATTGATGAGAGTGTTAAGGTATTCTTCATCAATTTCTGTAGAGTTATTTTTTATTATGATGTTTTTATTATTGAATTACACTCTACTCTTCCTTCCATTATATCATTTACTTTCATTTTAATGTACTTTTTAGTATTGTCTTTTATTTTAGTGATA